CCCATCTTCAAAATTACCAAGCCATGAAGGACCCTCTGCTCTCAACGCTCTTGGTGATGGAACATTTTGCTCTTCATCTACTGGCTTAGGTAGAGGTAAAGGAAGATCACCTGATTCCTCTGTCTTGACAACACCACCTCTATTCTCAGACTTGCCAACCTCGCTATTATTAGGACTAACGGAAGCATCAGCAATACGATGAGTTATGGGATCCGAAGCGGGTTCCTTTCGAACACCAGAAGACTCCGCTGGTGAAGAAGTTGGCGGAGGTGGAGGTGGAGATGGAGGAAGAGGTGGAGGGGAAGAAGGAGGGGGTGGGGGTGGCGTAAGAGAAGGAAGGGATGGTAGAAATGGGGAAGGAGATACAGAGACAAAGGAAGATGGAGGGGGAGGGGGAGGGGGAGGAGCTGGCATGTGCTGAATTCCAGGAGGCGGAGGGAGTGGAGTGTGATACCGAATTTGCCCTTGAGAATGAGGTGGTGGTGGTGGTGGCGCAGGGAAAATTCTAGGAGGACGAGGCATTGGTTGAGAAACAAGGTGAGAAGGATAAGAGGCATTTGGTTGAGAGTAGGGAGGGGGCAACGGGGAACTCCCTTGAATTGAAGGACGTGGGGGGAGATAGGGCTGAGATGTATGATGCAGATAGGAGGGGCCTGGTTGCTGATATTGTGGTGGAGGCGGTGGGCGAGGAGGAGCTTGTTGGAAAGGAGATTGAGCGGCGGGTTGGGTTGAGACTGCTGGAATGGAGGAGGTCTAAACTGTGGGTAGTTCCCTTGGCCATACATCTCTCTGCAAGTGCCCACTTCTTGCTAGTAGAGACCCAATATAAGATGCTTCCAGGATTATCTAAATCATAAAAAAAAAATCAATTGATAATTTACTAAGACATGGAATATTTTGTTTAAACATTGAGCATGGGAATTAACCAATAATGAAATACAACCTACCAAATGAAAGAAAATGAATGATAGCTATGAAATACACTGTTAAACTTTCTAATCACCTTAAACATCAAAAAATAAGATTCGAAGGCCTGAACCTACAAGGGCCAGGGATACAAGAAGCTAACTACTTCTATTGCTTCATAATATTGATTTCTTATCAGTAACAAAACATCAAACTAAATTGAATTCATAGTGACCGTATGCAAATTGTAGACTATTCTCGCATGTGTGATGAAAGAACTATGATACGGGGAAAAAATCAATTTTTGAGGTTCAATAACAATGCAAACCTCCAAAAGTCCCAATATTATTGCAAAAGAAATACTAATATGAACCTATCAAATAAATGAAAAGATCAAAACATAATTCGGTCAAACAACAGAAGCTCCAAAACCAAAACCCTAACTGATGGAAAACCGCACACGATTCAAAACCTATGTCAGATTCCACCCAATGAGACTCCGAATGAACTCCATTGCATCTCCAATCGAACTTAAACGGATCAAAAGAGAGCAAGAAAAAAGGCCCAAATTGAGGATAGTTACCTGTCGTTTAGCGATTGAGAGCGAACTCTCAGCAGAGGAGAGCAGAGTGGCTTGGATTGGGGATTGTGTTAGGGTTTGAGGTTAGATGAGAGGAATAAACCCTAGAATTTTTTTTCTGTCCCTTTTTTTTTCGTTCGGTCGCTCTTTCGCTCTTTTCCGCAGAGAGAGCCCGGGGGGAACGTGTGTGCGGGGGAGGACGTGTGTGCGGGTGGGGGCTTCTTCATTTTAATCCCGCAATTTCCAAAAAGGACAATTTTTCAAAACCGGCTTGTTTGTCAAAAATTTCTTTAAAAAAGACCCGTTTTAGATTTAATTTTAAAAACCAACTCAGTTTCAGTCAAAACTGAGGCTGAAACTAGGTCGGTTTTCGAAAAAAAGTTCTCAAATTTTACGAAATTTGAAGTCTCGTGAAGTTTTTTGCATAACAAAACTTCACTAGAGTTGAAGTCCCGTGAAGTTTTGTTATGTAAAAAAAAATTCACGGGACGTCAACTCCCGTGAAGTTTGAGAATTTTTTTTCAAAAGACGACCCAGTTTTAGCCGTGAAGTTTTAGCCTCACGGCTAAAACTAGGTCGGTTTTTAAAATTAAATCTGAAACGGGTCTTTTTATGAGAATAAGTTTCAAAACATGTCGGTTTTGAAAATTTGCCCTTTCCAAATTGTACAATTAAGACCCCTTGTCCAAACAACTTGATTCGCGCGTTGTTGCGGGGTTAGGATGAATATGATTTAAGCATTTGGTTTAAAAACACACTGTTTGTCTAACCATTTAGAACAAACATATGGCAAATTTATAGCAAAAGATAGTAACTTACAATGTGAATTACTCTTTCTTCTTAAAGATAGTAGCTTATAATGTATTAAAAAAAATCTAAAGTACACAATAGATTTAAAAATAATTTGAATAAGAACTATGGGTTTAAGAGTAATTTTAGAAGTATGTAGGTTTAAAAATAATTAGTTGTAAAGTTTTGAGTTTATAGAAAAAAAAATCTTTTTTGAAAGTAGGCTGATTTAAAATAAAAAGGGTGTGTGACTTAAGTTGTAGTGAAAAAGCTTATATACAGTTTGTGATGTCGCAAAATTAGTCTGAGAGAAACCAAAATAGATAATGGTTTATGCATTTGAACTAAAGTATTATAGCAAATTAAACTAAATATCATAATTTACTCTGCATATCAAATCAGTTATATGCAAATTGAATTTAGAATTAATTATTTTAAGTATTTTGAGTCTAAAAGTGATTTAGAAGTGGATGGGTTCAAAAACAAATTGGGGTAAATTTTCGGTTTATAAGTAAGACCAGCTTTGGAAGTGGAAGGATTTGAAAATATTAGTGTAAAGTGTGGATTTATAAGCAAAAAGTCACATCTATAGCTCTTGATGCCACGACATTTGTGTGATAAATTATTTCATCCCATATTTAACTACTTAAAAATATATAGCAATTTACATCATGTATCATACTATTAAATACAAAATTTGTGGAGTATTTTGGGTCTAAAAGAGAACCGTTCCACAGCTATCTAAGCCAGTTTTACTTTTGAGAATATTTGACAAACAAAATCCAACTAATAAGGTTTCTTAGCTATGTAAAAACATAGGTGGTAGATGCAAGAGTTAAATCTGCAAGTTGCACTTTAAAGCTAAAGGCTCTAGCCATTTGAGCTGGTTTATTTTAAAGAATGTTTGGCAAAATAAAATACTAATAACATAGGTTATTGTACCTGAGAATTATTGATCATTACATTTAAATGCACTTTTATACCCTCATTATTCATTTTTATTTAAAATATATTTTTTAATGATGTTTTTTATCTTAATCTATAAGTAATGATGAATTATCGAATAAGAGCTTAAAGAAATCAAAATTCCTCATATTGAAGCTCACATTGAAGCGTATGAGAAGTCCACAAAACTTAAAAGCTCAAAGAAAACAAAGTCAACAAAGTTTGCTAGAATTTTGTTGGAAACTAATATATGGGCTAACCGATTAGTTTGTAACAAATACGATCAATGATTGATTTTGATTTTCTTAGAGCCCAAGTATTATCCAAGGGTTGTGGTTGGAGGTTGTCGGCTATAAATAGGGGTGAAAAGTGAGAGGTTTGGTTATGTAAAATTTTAAAAACTCTATTTTGGAGAGGATGTTTACTTTTAATTGAAAAATCATTCCAAATTATAAACTTCTTATTTGTAATAAACAAAAAAATTCCTCTTTACAAATTTTCTTTCTTCTTATCTTTTAAATATAAAGATTTACTTCATAATGGGCCAACCCCTTGCAATGTAAGTTTTCATTTTTCTCTTTTTATTTTCTTATTTTAGAATTGCATGTTTTAGATTTTATTTTTTGCTTTATTTCATGTTTTGCAGTGCAGATTTATTGCTTTGTAGTATAGATTTCTTTTATGCTTTGTAGTATAGACTTACTTTTTTACTCTTTTCTTTTATGCTTTATAGTATAGATTTATTTTCTTGCTCTTTTAGTTCATGATATATAATGTAGATGTTTTATTTATTTCTTTACTTGTGTTGTAGTTTAGATTTATTTCCTTCCGTGTTTTGTAGTATAGATTTTAATTTTTTTTTTCCTTTTAATATCTAGTATAGTAGCTAATCTCATTATGATTACTAGGATCAGATAAAACTAGTTTAATTTCTTTATAATTTTTGAATTACTCTCTTTTGTGCTCAAAATGATCATGTTTAGGATATTAATCAACTAGAGAACTAATTGATAGAAAAATAATTTGATAGGCTATACTTATATTAAATGGTTTAATAATTTATGTTTTTCAACTCTAAGGTTATTATCTAGTAGTTTTTTTTTTCATGAGTAATAGTATTGCTTGAATTTGTTTTGATAGATTATGCTTATTTTTTGTAACTTGATAGTTTATGCTTAATAATTCTAAGTAATATGAGAATAAAAAAAAGTAGTTCATAAATTTAAAATGAAATCATCTAGTGGATTCAATTCTAGATTTCTCGTCTTTTCACTTGATTTTCTCCATCTTTTTATTTGTTTCTTGTTTTGATTTGATTTCCTTTCATGTTTTTTTATTTGTTTCTTTTATTTTGTGATAGCACTCAACCCAAAACACATCAAACACTACACAGTCATTCATTTGTTCCTACACATTTCAATAACTCATTTAGGATTGTCCTTCTAATACATCTCTTGCCCGTAGATTGGTATGTTAAATACTATAATTTGATTATTGTGAACTTGCAACTTAGTATATTTTCACATTTTGTTCATTACCTTTAACTCTATTGTAGAGTATAATTGTACCTAAAGTTACAGTTCACAACAGCAAATGTGATATTATACAAAGAAAGCAAGCAATTCTATTGTATAAACTAATTTTATCTGGTTTTAATAGGACACAAGTTCTTATCATGATAAGAGACTCGACCTCTTAATCATGATAGAACTTAAACCCTAAATTGCATGAAAATTATAGGAAATCAAAGATATAATTCCAATATA